CTATTCAATGACTGCAGTAGGATATGTAGCCCCAGCTAGGTGCTACTTTATAGGATGCGTAAAGTTAGACTTGTGTTCATGGAAATGTGTGTGTCACCTGTGTTTGCTATGAGGGTATTTGGATTGATTAGGGTCTTTGGTGATTCAATAAAATGTGGGAGGAAAACGGTATAGAAAGCAAACATAGATACCAGAGACAGTGTGGGAGGAGAGTGGGAGATGGCAGAGGGTAAGAGATAGGGAATCAAGGATGGTGGGAAAAAAAGCAAAACATAGAAAACAAGAAATGGAAGATCATTTGCTGACAATAACATGCTTGTTGATGTGCTTGATTGAGACAATATACAGTGTGCTCTGGATGGAAAATCTCATTTTGTATGCTGTAATGATGTACAGTGAATGAATGCAAATAAATAAATTGAAATAATAAAAAAATAAAAATAAAAAAGTATTATTTTCCCACATAGTCGACTGTGGTTCAAGTCCCGGACCCAGTGGCTTAAAACTCACACTGGGTGCGTGTGCGTGCGTGCCCAAGATCCCGAGAGGAGAATAGAGAAGTAGGGATTGTGGTGTGGCCATCCCCCCTGGGGGGTGATTTCTCACTTTCTATCTCTCTGTCTCTCTATGTCTGTCTGGTGAGTGCACGTGCCCTATAGCAAAAACCTCTTCCAAAAAAAAAAATAAAGTATTATTTTTTATTTAACTTTGTTTTGTTTTGAGAGTTTTTTTTGCTATAGGGCACATGCATTCACCAGAAAGACAGAGAGAGACAAAAAGTAAGAAATCATCACCCAGCGGGGATGGCCATCCCACAGTCCTTTCTCCTCCATTCTCCTCTCAGGATCTTGGGCACGCATGCACACGTGCCTGGCCTTAGTTTAAACCACCAGGTCTGGTACTTGAACCACCGTCAACAACATGGGAGTCCAGCGACATAGCCATTATGCCATCTGCTGGTCCCTGTTTGTTCATTTTAATTTAACCAGAGAGGGAAGGAGAAAATGAAAGAACATGAGAAAGTAGGCTGCCAGGTCTGGGACTTGAACCACGGTCAGCCATATGGGAGTCCAGTGCCTTTAACCACCACACCACCTGCTAACCCGTAAAGAGAGATTTTGCTATAGGGTACGTTCGCTCTCCAGAGAGAAGGAGAGAGACAGAAAGTGATAAATGACTCCCCAGGGGCAGTGGCCACATCACAGTCTTCTCTGCTCCATTCTCCCTTGAGATTTTGGACACGCACACACTTGTGCATGGCATGAGTTTTAAGCCACTAGGTCCACTAAGCCACTTGAACCGTGGTCAGCCATGTGGAAGTCCAGCACCTTAACCACTTAACCAGTCCAGCGCCACCTGCTGGCCCTGTCGATCCAACTTTTTAAAAAGCTGACCCTCCACAAACTCACCCGTAGATCTCCTAACAGCCTGCAACATTTAAGGCCATAAATTATAGTCATGAGCATTTTACAAAGGATGGATTTTGTGGGGAAGTATTGATAGCTTCAATATGCAAAATTGTGAGTATGTGAACTTTCTCAATGAGTCAGATAACGAATCACAAGTGTAGCCATCTCTCCTCATCAGGAACCATCTTTAAAATCTGAGACTTTAGGAACCAGCAGATAGCATAATGGTTAAGTCACTGGACTCCCACATGGACAACTGTTTTTGAGTCCTGGATCTGATGACTTGAAACTCATGTCAGGTGTGTGCATGCGTTCCCAAAATTCCAAGAGGAGAATGGAGGAGAAGGGATTACAACGTTGGCCATCCTCCCTGGGGGGTGATCTGTGTGTGTGTGTGTGTGTGTGTGTGTGTGTGTGTCTCACCAGCAAATGCACACACTCTATAGTAAAAATCTCTCTCTAAAAAAAAGAAAAAGAAATCATTACATATTCTTTATGTAATTATGATAAAATAAAAATATGTACAAAGGGATTGCAGTGTGACCAGCCCCTAAGAGGGGGAGGGGGTGCTTTTTCACTTTCTCTCTGTCTCTGGCATGTGCATGCATCTCTGCCCAAAAAAGAAAATTATTGTGTTTGGTTTTTTTTTTTTTTTTTTTGCTTGTTTGCTTGTTTATAGAGATTTTTGCTATAGGACATGTGTGTTCGCCAGAGACACAGGGAGAAACAGAGAGAGTGTGAAATCACCCTCAGGGGTGATGGCCATGCTGCAATCCCTTCTCCTCCATTCTCCTCCTGGGATTTTGGGCATGCACACAAAATCAAGCCACCAGGTCTGGGACCTGAACCATGGTCAGCCATGTGGGAATTCAGCACCTTAACTACTATGCCACCTGCTAGCCCTCCCCCCCCCAATTTATAATGTTATTAGATATTTAATTGCTTGATGTTTGGCTATGCATCTTACATGTTTCATAGATTAAAGTCTCTCATAAACTTCAGCCAGCTCCTACACTGATACCATGTGGGAAGAGGACTGTACATGAGTGCTTACGTGACTATCCTTTACAGTAGGGATCACTGTGCATAGCAAAAGATACACACCATTTCATAAGTAATCAGAGCATTCTCAGAGTCCACTTGTAGAGACCAGAAGAAGTCTGTTAACAAAATTATAACAATGTGGTAGTTCCTAAAAAAAACAGAACTGCCATAAGGTCCAGCAGTCCTACTTCTGCACATACAACTAAAAGAATTGAAAACAGAGACTTAACTAGATATTTGTGCACCAATACTGCATTATTTGCAGTAGCCAAAATGTGGGAAGAAACCAAATGTCCATTGCTGGATGAATGGATAAACAAAATGTGGTAGGTACACACATACAATGGAATATTCAACTTTATAAAGGAATGAGGGCCTGCAGATCACTTGTTGTTTGGGATGGCTTGATCCCACATGGCTGAGTACACAGTTCAAATCCCAGACCCAGCAGCTTGAGAAACATGCTAGACTAATGTGTGCATGTGTGCCCAAATCCCAGAAGGAGGGAGAGAGAGAGAAGGAATTGCAGCGTGACCATTCCCTGTAGGAGTGCTTTCTCATTTTCCTCTCCATCTCTCCAGTGAGCATACATGCCCTCTGACAAATTTTTAAAAATAAATAAAAAGGAGTGAAATTCTGATATATACCATAACATGGGTGAACCTTGAAGGCATTACACTAAGAAAAATGCCAGCCACAAAAAAAAAAAAAAAGGTATATGATTATATGAAGTGCCCAGGTGTAGTCAAGATTTATAAAGACAGAAAGAATGGTGGCTACAGAGGCTGCAGTGCAGGGGTGCGTACAAAATTTTAGTCAGCAAAGATAAGAAGAGTTCTGCAGCAGATTGGGCCAGCCAGTGGCATGCTGGTTAAAGCAGCCGGATCCCACATGGCTGACTGTGCTGTTCAAATCTGGGACCTGATGGCCTGAAAAATATCAGGCATGTGTGCATGTGTGCTCAAAATCCTGAGAGAAGGGATTATGTCATGGCCAACCCCCTGACTGGGGAGTGGGGGTGATTTCTCTCTCAATCCCAAGTGAGCACACATGTCCTATAGCAAAAAAAAACAGTTCTGGAGAGGAATGGTGGTGATGCTTGCCCAACATGAATGTACTTAATGCCGCTGACCTGGATGCTTAAACATGCTTAAAATGGGGACCAGCAATTGGCATAATGGCTATGTCACTGGACTCCCATGTAGTCAACTGCAGTTCGAGTTCTGGACCCAGTGGCTTAAACTCACGCGGGGTGCATGTGCGTGCGTGTCCAAGATCCTGAGAGGAGAATGGAGGAGAAGGGATTGTGGCATGGCTAACCGCCCTGGTGGTGATTTCTCTTTCTGTCTTTCTGCCTCTTTCTGGCGAGCACATGTGCCCTATAACAAAAACCTCTCCAAAAAAAACCTTAAAATAGGCCCGGCCTCTATGGCATAGTCAGTTGCATACCAAAATGCAGTTCTGGAAGCCATATGACTGACTGGGCTCAGATACCAGGCTCAGGCAATCTGTGTGTTTGTACCCAGGATCCTGACAGCTGGTGGGCTCAAGGAAGGTGGTCATGGCATGACCAGACTCTATCAAGAATGATTTTTTTTTTTTTTTGGAGAGGTTTTTGCTACAGGGCATGTGCGCTCACCAGAAAGGCAGAGAGACAGAGAGGCAGAAAGCGAGAAATCACCCCCCAGGGGGGATGGCCATGCCACAATCCCTTCTCCATTCTCCTTTTGGGATCTTGGGCACACACGCACATGTGCCTGGCGTGAGTTTAAGCCACGGGGTCCAAGACTCCAACTGCAGTCGACTACATGGGAGTCCAGCGACATAGCCATTACTCCATCTGCTGGTCCTGAGAGTGATTTTCTCTCTTGTGCACATGTACAACTTGTGTTCTTGATTGTGAATAAATTTTTTTCCTTTTTTACTTGAGACTAGGTGCATGTACTCAAGAGAGAGATGAAGAAACAGCAAGAAAGGTAAAAAGCACCCACTCTCTCCAGTGGGGTATGTTTACATTGCAATCCCTTCTTCATTTCTCCATCCTTTTGGAATTTTGGACACACATACATATACACATACTTGGTGTGTTTTTTCAAGCCAGTGGGGTTGGGATTCAAACCATGGTTGGCCATATAGGAACCAGCTCCCTTAATCACTAGTCCATGGTACTGACCCAAAATTAAAACAAACAAAAACTGTTCAAATTGTAAATTTTATGTGCATATTTTATTACAGTAAAAAAGCTTTAATAAAAAGTCTATATTAATTAACCTGTGGACAAACGGAAGAGGAGAGCTAAAGGCAGAAGAGGGTTGAAAATATTTAAGTAATTAAAATTAATAAATAAAAATACGAATTTAATATTATAAAATAATAGGAGTTTGTACTTTCATGGTCTACTGAAGTACTCTGTGTGAAATACACATTTTGGAGTACCTACATTTTTGTTGTTATAAGGTTCATGCGCTTGCTGGAGAAAGAGAGAAGAAAAATGAGAAATCGCTCCCCAGGGGAGGTGGCCATGCTGCAGTCTCTTCTCCATTCTCCTCTTGGGATTTTGGGCATGCACGCACACCCACCTTTGTGATTTTCAAGCCACCAGGTCCGAGACATGTGGAACATTTCACTTGAGATAGCTCCTTTGGCAGAACCAGACTGGCAACTAGCATGGTCACAGAATCAGAATTCTGGAGGTAAAAGGGACCTCGGTGACTTTGTCCATCCCTGTTACAGGTGAGCCTCAACGATGGTGTGGTTGGCCTTCGCTTGCACAGCTTCCATAGTCACTAGCTCCACGATCAAGCACACTATTTCTCAGCCTTTTCTAAACTATTTACACTCTCTTCAAGACATCAGTACTTTTGCCGCCTCAAACTTCCCAAAATATGTTCTCCATTTCCCATTAAAATATCAAGTCTTTCAGAAGGGAACTCCGTCCCCTTCAGTCTCTTGATTCACTTCTGCTTATGCCCTTGACCCTCACTTTCCATCTCTCCCACTGCTCCCTCAATAATCATCCTCCTTTTTCCCACAGACTATTTCCCTCAGCCACCAAAATCCACAGATGTATTCTTAACTTTCTTTGGACTGCTCTAAACTATTTTGTTGCTGTCTCACAGTCACATTTCATGGCACTCACTGCTAAGCTTGTGACTACTGCTCAAGACAACCAGGGTGATACTCACCTGACAAGGGAGACACTGTGGTCACAAAGGTAATTTTCCCAGGGCGAGGCTTATCCACTGCACTCTGGATGTGCAGAATCCTGTGATTTCCCCAAATGTGGGAAACTCGACTGCATAATTCGTGGTAGTGGGGGACTGCATTTGCGCTCTCCACTATTGAAAAAAAAAAAAAGAAAGAAAAAGAAAAAGAACCAGGGTGACACAAAGCACTCTGGTTTTTGCCACCTGGCTGGCCTTGTTTTTTTTTTTTTTAAGTTAGTTTATTCCTTGATGGACAGAGGCAGAGTGAGAGAGAGAGACACAAAGACAGGCCTCCTCAACAGAGTTCCCATGCTACAGCCCTCCCATTTCATCCAGCCCAAATTGTGGTACAAATGTGCGCCTGACATGCTAAGGAGATCCCTGAATGTGAACCCAGGACCTTCCCGCTTTCCCCTGTGGTGCCAGCTGTACTCCACTGAACCCCTGCCTGATCCCTGTACCCCATGCATTTTTAAGGTAATTGCATTTATATAGCAGTTTCACTTATAATATTTTCTGTTTATCCTATGGCCCCATTAGGCACATCATTTTGCAGATGAAGGAAACAGGTTCGCAGAAGTTTTGTTTTTTGGTTTTTTGTTTTTAAGAGGTTTTTGCCTTAGGGTGCATGCACCCACAGGAGAGAGACAGACAGACAGACACAGTGAGAGGGAAAGTGAGAAATCACAGTGGATGTGGCCACTCTACAATCCATTCTTCTGGGATCTTGGGCACACATGCACACTCACTCAGCATGAATTTCAAGCCACCCAGTCCAGGATTCAAACCACATTCAACCATGTGGGAGTCCAGTGACATAACTGCTATGCCATATGCTGGTCCCAACAGACAATATGTTTTACCCAACTTTATACACTTCATACATAGAAGATCTGAACAGAACATTTGCTGAGCACTTAACACACATGACGTACTGGGCAGAGCATCCTGGGTGTATTCTTTAACCTTTGCAGCAACTTTTTTTTAAAGAATTATCTATTTATCTAACTCTATTTGTAGTTATTATTTCTTTAATGTGACCAGAGGCAGTGAGAGAGAAAGGGAAAGCAAGAAAGCAAGCCACCAGGTCCAGGACTTGAACTCTGGTCAGCCATGTGGGAATCCAGCGCCTTTATCCGCCACGTCACCTGCTGGCCCCCTATTATTTTTAGTGGGTTAATTTTTGCCATAGGGCATGTGTGCTCATTGGAGAGAGGGGGAAAGTGAGAAATCTACCCCCCCAGGAGGGATGGCCACACCATAATCTCTTCTCTGTTCTCTTGGGATTTTGGGCATGCACAAGCGTCCGGTGAGATTTTCAAGCCACCAGGTCCAGCACTCAAACTGTGGAGTTGGCTGTGTGAGATCCAGCCACCATAGCCAACACGCCACTTGCTGGCCCTGAGGCAACTGTTCTTCACATTCTTCATTTTATAATTGAAAACACCAAGACTTCATAGAAATTAAAGTGATTTGCCCAAACTAAGATTTTTTTAAGAGATATTTTTGCTAGAGGGTGTGTGCACTCGCCAGAGAGACAGAAAGTGATAAATCACAGAACTTGAACCGTGGTCAGCTACGTGGGAGTCCAGCAACATAACCATTATGTCTTTTGCTGGTTCCTCAAACTAGGATTTTAATTCAGTTAAGATTCAGATTAAAACAACAATTCTGCTATACTACGCTGCTTCCCATCCTTATACAAGTTAAGTATACATTTTCTTTTTTAAATTAAAAGTTTATTTTTTCTGTGACACAGACCCCTGGCAGAGTCTTGTATTACAATTCTTCGAGCCAGCCATAGGCATGCCAAATGTGCTCAGATTGACTGCGAATTTGAACAGCGGACCTTCCAATATGGCTCCAGTATTACACAGTGGCTCCAAACCCCCTGTACCACTGCAAAAGCACCAAGAACTTACATTTTCAATTATCCAAATTGACATGGTACAGTTGGAAAGGCTTTAGTGTCAGTCTTTGAGGTTAGAGTCTCTCTTTGGCTATCTGGCCCCATAGCCTAGTGGTTAAGGGGTTAAGTGGCTAAGGTCAATCATGGTATGAATCCTGGCCCCAGCAACTTGAAGAACACACCAGGTGCACACGGGGTACATGTGCGTGTGTGCCCCAAATCCCAATAGGATGGAGAAATGCAAGAGAAGGAGTTGTAGTATGACCACGCCCCAGTAGGAGGGTTCTCTTTATCTCTGTTTTTCTCTCTGGCAAGAATATGTGCCCTCTGGCAAGTAAAAAAAAGAGAGAGAGAGAGAGAGAATCTCTCTTTGGCCATTTACTAACTCCCTGACCTTAAGACAAGTTACTTAACCTCTCTTACCTGCACTTTCCTCACCTATAGAATAGGAATTTGGGGGCTGGCCGGTGGCGTGGTGGTTAAGGTGCTAGACTCCCACGTGACTGGCTGTGCTTTAAGTCCTGGACCTGGCAGCTTGCTTTCTCACTTTCTCTCTCTCTCTCTTTCTCTGTCTCTCTCTGGTCAAGTTAAAAATAATAAACAAAATTTAATTTAAAAATTATTTTAAAAATATATGAATTTGTACACAGCTGGATACCCTGATTATTTTTGCTCACAGCATCCCCATTTACTTCTTTTATTTTACACTTAACCCAGTTTGTAATTCATTACTGGTGTCCATCTCTACCTGCAGAATATAAGCAACATGAGGGCTGCAACTATATGTGTCTTGTTCACCATTGTATCCCCAGTACATCAAACTGGGCCTGGCACGTGGGGGACCCTGTATGTACTTGTTCAATAAACTCATCCCATCCCAACACAAGTAATGACAAATGGTTGAGATGACGGGTATGCTAATTAACCTGATATCATCACTACATACTGTATTCCTATACTGAAAAATCACATTATGAACTCACAAACATAAGCAATTATGATGTTCATTTATTTTTTAAAGATTTATTTATTTATTTATTGTTATTATTATTTTTCACATGAATTTTGCCAAAGACAGAGAGAGAAAGAGAGGAAGAGTGAGAAAGCAAGCCACCAGGTCCGTGACTCAAACCATGGTCAGCCATGTGGGAATTCCAGCACCTTAACCACCATGCCACCTGCCGGCCATGTTAATTTATTTTTTTATTTAAAGATTTTTGAACTTAATTTATTTCATATATTTTAATTTGACCAGAGAGGGACAGAAAGAAAGAGAGAAGGTGAGAAAGCAATCTGCCAGGTCTGGGATTCAAACAGCGGTCAGCCATGTGGGAGTCCAGTGCCCTTAACCACCACGCCACCTGCTGGCCCCTATATGTTAATTTAAAAAGTAATAGGCCAGCCCATGGCCTGGTGGTTAAGGCAGCTGGAATCCACATGGTCAATCATGTAGTTCAAGTCCTGTACCCAGTGACTTGGAAACACAAGTGAGGGAGAAAGAGATGAGAAAGGATTGTGGCATGACCATTCCCTGTGGTTGGAGGAGGTACTTTCTCTCCCTCTCTTGCTCTTCTCCAGTAACTGCACAAACCCTCTGACAAATAAGTAAATAATTTAAAAGTGCATAAACTATCAGAAGTAATGATAGTGCTGCTCTGGTAGTCTAGTGGTTAAGGGAGTCAGACCCCACATAGCCGACCATGTTTTGAATTCCAACCCCAGCAACTTGGAAAACATGCCAGGTGCATGTGTGTGCATGCCTCGAATCTCGATGAGATAAGGAAATGGAAGAGAAGGAATTGCAGGATGACTATGCCTTATTGAAGGATGCTTTCTCCCTCTTTCTTTCTCTGGTCAGCGCACATGTCCTCTGGAAAATTAGAGAAAAGGAAAGAAGAGGGGAAAGCAGGAGGAGGGGAGGGGAGAGAAAAGAGAGAAGAGGAGAGCTGTTCCTCCTGGTTCTCCTCCTTTAACATCCCCAGCAGAGGGGAAGGAGCACCTCATTACTGCTTGGTGGGCTCATTATCAACGGGGGAGATAAAGTTTCAGTTCCTTAATGAGCCTCTTTATACGTCCCATTGCACAGGTGTTGGGTCACCTGGTTACAGACTTGCCAGCTGTACAGACTGGGCCCCCCATTCTGCCTTTGGTGGCACAGGGCAAGGGGGCACTTTTTTGTTTGTTTTCCTGTGTCATTTGGATGGAAGAGCAATTGCTGTCTACAGTTTTTGTTTGCTAGGCTTCCCTTTCCCAGCCCTTTGGCTGGAAAGAGCAGGCTGCTGCTGGGGCACCCATTGGCATTTCCAGGTTGCTAGCTTCTTCAGCTCCAAGTTTGGAATATATGAGGTACAAAGAAAACTCAAGGAATTCACTAGTATGTCATTACTTGGGTTCCAAGGCCCCTAACCAGTCTGTCATCTTCTTTTCAGAGTCTTCATATTTTTTAAAAGAATTATTTACTTTTATTCATTCATTTTATTTTCATTTGATCAGAGAGATACGCAGAGAGAGAAAGAGGGAAAGTGAGAAAGCAAGCCACCAGGTCTGGGACTTGAACCATGTTCAGCCATGTGGGAGTGTCCAGTGCCTTAACCACCACACCACCTGCTGGTCCCAGAGTCTTCATACTTAAAAATATATATTTTATTTAACTTTATTTATTTGTTTGTATTTTAATTTGACCAGAGAGGGACAGAGAGAGAGAGGGAAAGTGAGAAAGCAAGCCACCAGGTCTGGGACTTGAACCATGTTCAGCCATGTGGGAGCCCAACAACCTTAACCACCACACCATCTGCCGACCCAAATCTTCATATGTTTTAAAATATATCATCAGGCAGTGGTGTGGTGGTTAAGGCAGCTGAATCCCACATGGCTGACTATGCAGTTTGAATCTCGGGCCTGGAGGGGATATATCTTGTCCAGGATTTTACTTATATTTAGTGAAAGAAATTTGAAAAGGTATGTCTAATCCTTCTTGGAAGTTATAGTCCTGCTTGGCACTTTTTAAAAAAGGCACACTTGACTATGTGATTCTCCTAGTTAAATCTTCCAATGATATCCCATCACTAAGGATAAACAAAAAAAAAAATCTTTCACATGACTTTATTAAAACGTCTTCAGGGCTGGGACCAGCAGTTGGCGTAATGGCTATGTCGCTGGACTCCCATGTAGTCGGCCGCGGTTTGAGTCCCAGACCCGGTGGCTTAAACTCACGCTGGGCGCGT